CAGAATTTCAGCCTTCAATTCATGTAGGCTGATGTATGGCTACAGCCAGCATGCTCATTCATTCCCACAGCCCCCATTGTGTGTTAGCACCTAATCCAAATACCTGATGAGGCCTTCTGTCTATGAGTCTACAAAAACAAACTTGTAGATGAGTTGTTATGTAGAAGCTTGATTCATCACATGTGGCCTGAATCGAGATAATGGATTTAATTGTCTTAGCAATATAGTTATTTGTCTTATCAGTGCCAGTACCAGGAAGCTTATGTTATTATCAACACTGCTTTGTAAATCATCACTACAGTATTTATTTTCATACATTTAGCATTTTATCCCTAACTTCTGGCCTCACTATTAAAATTTTATATCTTTTACATCAATGCCCATTTATATATCTGCCAATTATATATCCTGCCAATTATATATCCCTCCATGTATCCAATGAAGTGGACTCTAGTCCTTTAATGCTTATGCCATAATAAACCAATTAGTGTTTAAGATTGCATAAGAATTAAAGTGTTTTGCTTTAATTCTTTGCTTTAATTTTGCATTTGTTGCAACAAAACTATCAACAACTACCCCTCTGAAACTTGTATGTCACTATTCCAGCAGGAATCGGTCCAGTGAAATAGATATATAATACCTTGTCATCCCTATTCTCTTGACAGCAAAAGCCATGTATACTGAGAAGGATTTGCAGAATGGAAGATAGTCCCGTAATTGTAATGGCTGTGTATCTTTTTACGACAGTTGTTGACATATTGGTTAGGAAGTCACAATATGTACATTTTATATGTTTTATTTGAATAATATTTGTAAGAGTTCATAGGCTTTTGAAACACCAAGCCAACACAAACATTGGCCAACAGAATCTATGCACAGAAGGAAAAGATGCCACCTATTTTGTATGCCTCTGGGCTGAGCCTGGCACTGACATGCAATACGGTGGGCCTCCTATTGAGCTGCCGGTGCCAGTAACTCTACATTTCTCTCCTTTCAAGTACTGTCAGCCTCTACTAAGTTTTGCTTGCAAGGTTCATAAAGACTGTCATTCATTGTGGTGTAGCTACATAAACACCGATTTGTTGTGCTCTAAATGTTAGTGACTTCACAGCGAAGCTGTTCTAAACAGTAAATCTCTTGTAGAAGAGCCACACTCTCTTTCCTGCTGAATGATATTGCCACTGCTTTAGACTGTGCTTACTTTAAATAAACTACAGCTGGAGGGGATCTTCCCCTTTTGAATGATGGATTCTGAGGGGTGTTTTTCTCCCCCTAATCCTAGTTAATGTTACTTTTCTGACTATGTCAGACTATCCAATTAGGCCTAACGATCAGTTACAAGCATCAGCACACTCAAGTGTTCAGTTTTTCAGCCTCTTTCTTTCTTAATGCACACACCATATTAAATTAAACTCTCTTCCAGTCTGCAGCTTTTACAAGCTAAATGAAGAGACTGTACTCTTTCTTTGCAGCTCTTCATCAGATGCAAGAGAATCGTGTGCCCCTTGACTTTCACAAGGTTATTCAAGAGAATGTTTTTTATTCAGTGACTGGGCCTGAGAGACTTGCAGGCAAAGGACAGTGTAGTAGGTGAGCTATTGAGCAAGTGATATAAATTCTTAGGGGTGCTTTTGGCCCCGTAATAAAATGGTGGCAAAGGTAATCATGCAATATTGACATGGTTATTGCTCAGGTTGTGGTTATATCACAGTTTGTATTGTGTTGCAGTTAATGTTCATGTGTCCTTTTTATATGAATTTAACAAGGGCACTCCAGCGTGCAGGTTTTTTGTGTTTTTTAAGAGAGCTGGGATGCAAATTTACTGCTCCTCTATTCACATTACTAGAGATGCTAGTGTTCCCAACAATCCATGTTCAGGAAAGCATTCAGGAAAGTAAGAGGAAGGGAAGGACTTCACAGCTTTAACTTTGCAAATGTGAAAGGGGAGGAAAATGAATTGTCTTTTTGGAAGAGTCCCTTTTGCGCACTTGCATCTTGATTTGGAAAGGGTGATGTGGGTGCAGCAACAGATTTCGATACAATCCTATATCCAGAATGGAATTGGAAGGAAGCTGCTTTACACCAATTGTCCTTTATGGTCTATTCTGGGGTAGGAAACCCAAAGATCTGCCTCTGAACTGTGGTCCTGCCCCACAGCTTGAGATGCCACAAGTATGATCCATAGGGTAGGCACCACATGCACATTACTACTACTACTACTATTATGGCTTGTACCCCATTGCCATGATATATATTTGGTAAGGGTTAGCACTCACTACTCCGGCTGAAGTATTCTGCACAAGCTGCAGGACCAGCCAGAAGAGAAACCTCATACAGGGCACATTACAGTAGTCTAAATATGATTACCAGCACCTGAACCTGTGAACGTATCACAGCAGGCCTGGGGTTCCAACATCCCATTCGCTGACTATTTGAGGGTGCAACAGAGACAGCAATTTAGGTCTTTTTTGCTGCCTTTGTTGCTATATCTTAGGCATGGTGGCATGTTTTAAACACTGTTTCATTGGTTTCACACTTGATCTTGCACCACTTCTAGTCCAGCCATCCTCCAGCCTACATCATTGTTTGTAGCTCTGAGGAAAACCAAGGAGCACAACAAGCTCCATAGTGTTGAAGTGGGCACTCCCAAGCTGAACCTCATCTCATTGCTCTACAATAGGGTAAGTGCATCAACAAGAACGACAGGATTTTTATATCAAGATCACAGCGCCCCTGGTTTGCCACCACAGTGCTAAATCAAATGTGCAGAACGCTTCTGTACAACTGAAAATGAGAATTTGCTGTCAAAAACACTTCCAGCTAGACATAAATTTTTGGATAGTGTCCCAGAATGCTCTGGGTGGTCTTTTAAGACTACAGAGCACAGACCACAGTGGGCTATACATTTTGGCAGGGCTATCAGCTTTTTTCATGTCTCCTGCCAGTGATAGGATGGAAAACATAACCAAAGATTTGTGAGACTTTTCTTGAAAACATGCCATGAAGTAAATAAAGGAGATGAAGAAGGAAACATTTTGTACTAATGCTGTACAGATGCCAATCTACTTCTTAGTGAGCACCAATACCCCAAGGTAAAATTGGATCTTAAAGCATTCCTCCCCTTGACTATGTAATCTGTGTGGAGTAACACTGTGCGTGTGTGTTTTGTTATATCATATGGAGTTATTTGGTTACATATTTATGCTGTTCTTGCTGGAAATGTAATGTAAGCTGCTTGTCCCAAACCAGCTGAAGTTAATTGACTTTAAGTTCCAATGAGGAGGAGCTCTAAGTACTTACATAACAAAGGGCCTCTGGATAGCTCAGTTGATTAGAGTGTGGTCTGGTAACACCAAGGTTGCAGGTTTGAGCCCCATATGGGATAGCTGCATATTCCTGCATTGCAGGGGGTTGGAATAGATGATCCTTAGGATCCTTTGTAGCGCTACAGTTCTATGATTCTATGAGACTTGTCCTGAAATATGGCATGGAGCAGCTGGAACAAACTGAACATGTTGGACAACATGATCCCCTCAGAAGGACTATGGTTTCTGATGGGTTACCTGGGACAAAATGTGACCCATTTGGAGACCATAGTTGGCTAAGGAAGGGCTTTCCAAAACAATCGGTTGGCATGCTAAGCAGCCAGTTCTGGGCACCACAATTTAATAAGGATATTGACAAGCTGGAGCGTGTGCAGAGGAGGGAAACCAAGATGATCAAGGGTTTGGAGACCAAGCCTTATGAGGAACTGTTAAAGGAATGTTGAGCCTGGAAAAACCTGGAAAAGAGGAAATACATGACAGCCACCTTCAAATATCTAAAGGGCTGTCACATGGAAGATGGAGCAATCTTGTTTTCTCCTGCTCTGGAGGGTAGGACCCGAACCAATGAATTCAAGTTACAAGAAAAGAGATTCCGACTAAACATCAAGAAGAACTTTCTGACACTAAGAGCTGTTCAACAGTGGAACAGACACTCTTGGGAGGTTGTGGACTTTCCTTCATTGGAGGTTTTTAAGCAGAGGTTGGATGGTCATCTGTCTTGGATACTTTAATTAAGATTTCCCGCATTGCAAGGGGTTGAACTAGATGGCCCTCAGGGTCCCTTCCAACTTTACATTTCTATTATTCTTTGCACAGCCACCTATTGAGGAAAACAGAAGAGTCAATGGGTTAAGAGGCATGCTCAGAGTGCCAACAAGACTGGGCACCTGGAAAACACCTTGACATCTCCAGATATTGTTGAATTCTTAATGGCCAGTGGTCAGGTATGATGGAATATGTAATTCAAAACCTCAGGAGGCCACAGATTCCCCACCCTAAGTTGGAAGGATCAAACAGCATAGGAATTGATACGAAAATACCTCTGCCCAAGACCTCAGAGACTTCCTGCCACCTGTCAGAGTCAACTATATAACAACAACAACAACAACAACAACAACAACAACTATATTGGGCTAGTTAGACAAACAGTCTAACCTGGTATAAGGCAACTACCTATGATCTGGGAATTCATTCTTGCCCTCCTTGTACCTGTCACACAGCAATGCCAATCGTGGCAGACAAATTAAGAAAAGAGAGCACCATTTCACTTTCTCAGCACAGAGCAGGCTCTAAATCCTCCAGATCTCTATTACCAAGGAGATTGCTATGACTAACATATGCTTTCACAAATAGCTTTGATAATCATCACATCACTAACAATGGAATGCGCCTAGGCTATCTTAGCTGGGATTCTAGCACCCCCTACAGTTTGTCCCTTAATTAGCAGTTTATCACTTTTGTTCTCTTGTGTTATGGTAATTTTAAAATGCAATATTAAAAACAGTTTGAAGCAAATTGTTGTTTTTTTAATGTTGCAGAGATGTTCCTTAGATACTGTACACCATGATGTGCTTCTTTGGATAGACATGGTATTTTTTCAGTTAAAGTTGTGAGGTTTTTCCATAGACATGGCTCTGAAGCCTTAATGTGCTTCGGATTTCCTTTAAGACATTTGCCCTTTTTAACAGATCCCTGTCCCTTGTCCTTAAATCTTGAAGATCTCTCTCCCCAGACAATGCATGATGCTGATGTTGTCCTCTCTCCGGTCGCATGCAGGCCTGCAGCACCAATCTACACCCTGGAAAAGAGAGAACAAACCAGTACAGCACTATAATAACAGAGGACTGTGAGACTTATTTCTTCCAACTTTTCTTATTCTGACTTTAGGTTTACCAGAGTTCTAACACCTCTTTAAAAGCTCTCAAGTTGGCAGTCATTGAAGGCTGCTCAGTGGTGTGGGTGGCTTTCCTACTTTTCAATGTATTAGTACTCTCTTCTTAATCATCCCTCTTTCCCCTTGTCTGCTACTGTCTGCCATACTGTTCTGTGGCTATTCTGTGGTTTAATAATAAGCTGTTCACTGATTTAACAATGCTAAGCTGTGTTCAATAGATCCTAGTTAACCCAATGATCAGTGGCCTACCCTCTGAGACAGTCAGTTGATGGATGACAAGAATTCTTCAATTAGTGTGTTCTTAATAAGCCAACTAGCCCTGCTGCAAAGGCCAATCAAGTTAGGAATTATACAAAGTAGACTTCAGGAACTGTCTTACCAGTAGCATCAGGCTAAAAAAAAGCCTGAAGCCCAATGATGAAGCACATTCTAGTGGCCATTAACATTTAAGTTACAGAATTCACTATGTTCCACTTATTGGCTAGACTATCAGAATCTTAAATTTGCCTGCAACTGGAAAACAGGCTATTCTTCTTTAATGTTTGCTTATGTAGAAGGGCATGTAGCTGAAATTTTGTTTTCTAGTCTCTCCCTCACAAAAAGCACCTGAAGGCAGGAAGAAAAGATTGGGTATTTAAAATTAATAATTAATTTCATTTGTTTAATTAAGTGAATGCATTTGTTTAAAATTAATTTTTGTTTTATTATTCTGTGCATGGATACAGAACACTTGCAGGCACACCAGGGATTGGCCCATAGCACTGTATGTTTCCAACAGTGGGAGGAAAAATGCAAATTCTTCCTTTGCCACTCCTGATTACTTCCCTGCCTTGGAGCTTCCCATGGGCCACATGGCAGAGTAGTGGTGGTGGTGAGAGCAAAGTCTGGTGAATGCCTTAGTACTCTCTTCTTCACTGCTCATGGCAGCTGCAGTGGCACCAGCAGAATAATGACAATGATGCCACCTGCCACCATTGCAGGGTCAGATTGGACCTGGGTCAAAGATGGTGGGACAAGGAGATGACATGCTGGATGGACTAGCTCTTCCTGTTTGTTGCTCTGTTTTCTATTGGTCCAAATTGTCTCTGTTGCCAAAGTGCTCTCCAACCATCAGACCCATGTTAGCCAGAACCAACCATAGCTGCCAACCTTCCCTTTTTTTGCAGGAAATTCCCTTATTCCAGCGCCGTTTCCCGCTGCTTCCCGCTGCTATCCCGGATTGTTAGATATCCCATAGACTGTCCCTGGGACAGGTGAGGGAGCTGATCCCTTATTTTTGAGGCTGCTGATCCCTTATTTTCAAATCTGAAAGTTGACAGCTATGGAACCAACACAGTACAAAACTGGAGCAGCAGTTGTCCTTCCTGGGACAATTTCAGGTCCCAGGAAGAAGTCTGGTATGTGGTGTGTGTGTATACGTGCATGCGTGCGTGCATGTACATACATACATATGTACATATATACAAAAGAGTACAGTGGTACCTCTGGTTACAAACTTAATTCGTTTCGGAGGTCCATTCTTATCCCGAAACAATTCTTAACCTGAGGTGTGCTTTCACTAATGGGGCCTCCTGCTGCCACTGCACCGCCTGCGCACAATTTCTGTTCTCATCCTGGAGCAAAGTTTTCAACCAGAGGTACTATTTCCGGGTTAGCGAAGTTTGTAACCCAAAATGTTTGTAACCCAAAGCGTTCGTAACCCGAGGTACCACTGTATGCTGTTCATACTTCCATGTCCCTGATTGTTGGTCATGCTGGCAGGACCTGATGGGAGTCGAAATCCACAACATCTGGAGGACACCAGGTTGCAGATGGTTAGCCTAGACTATTCTTCAACCTTGAGTCCCCAGATGTTGCTGCTATACAATTTCCATCATCTTTGTCCATTAGATAAACTAGAAGAGAATAATGAGAGCTGTAGTCCAAAACTCCTGCTGTGTTTTGAGTTGTGGCCATGCTAATATTGGGCTTTCCTGTGGCATCTACAACTAACTTTTATAGGAAAGGAGCACAGACAATGGGCACCCTACTCAAGCCTTCTCATTGTCTAATTGGGTCTGTCTGCTTACCCAAATGTCAGCCTTTGCCATGACTTCATTCATTGGCTAAAAGCATACCGTCCAAACTTATGGAAACTCAGACCTGTGATGCACATCTTCCATGGTGCACTCCTGGGAGAATCACATGACCCGCACCTTGATGTCACCCTGAAAAGAAGCATTTTTTTTCAAAGTGAGAGTGCAGTGCGAGAGTGTGGCATCCAAAATGGCTTCCGCAATCTCATGGGGAAAGAACAGGGCACAGGTATGGAGTAGGCGATTTTTCTTCAGAGAACAAATGAGGAGCATTGTGGCTGCACATTTTGCCTCAAATCTCTGTTTCCACCTGTGTTGGAAACTTACACTGATTAAAAAGAAAGCTGGGAATTTGGGGGCTTATGACTCAGCCAGGAGTAATGTACACAGTCCCCCTCCCCATGCACACTCACCACAGATTGAAGATCTGAAAGGGGCTATATTGTGATCTAAATGGCTGACTGACAATCACTTCAAAACAAACTATTTTTTGAGCCCAGGATGGAATCAAGGAAGCTCACCACCACCATCAAAACACAACAGTCTGAATCAATTCAAGCTTTAAAATGAGCTTATTTACCATTGTGAATTTTCGCTCTGTTCCTCTCAGCAATTTTCACCATTATGGCTGCAGTCCCAATGAAAGTAGCCCAGACTGCATAGTATTGCTGTCACAGCAACTGCTCTCAAAGAGCTCTGCACAGAATTCAGCACATTGCTGCTGCTCCAGAAGACAAGTGCTAAATAACAGTAGCAACAGGCATGAGGGCACATGATACAGCTGTCTTGCTGATAGTAAACAGGCTTCTGCCTGGTCAGTACTTGGATGGGAAGCTATCTGGGAACCCCATGTATGCTGCCTTGACCTCCAGGATGGAAGGAAGGAAGGAAGGCATGATATAAATCTACTAAATAAATAATAGGGGTAATATTGCTGACCAGATATAAATCAGGAAAAGGACAAAGTACCTGTTTTACTCTCAGTATAACCAGGAGCTAAATATATAATTTTCCTCTCCTTTCTTCCTCTCACTTCATTATGTAAAATAGGATTTCCCCATTATCTATTAAGGAAAGCCTATGTGATAATCTCATTAATCACAAAAGACTTCAAGGAAAGAGCATGAGACTGAAGAAGACCAGCACAAAATTAACCTCATCGATGAACTGGTTGTTACTGCTGTGTTTGTATTGTGGTGATGCCAATAGTGTGTCTTCTAGTGGCATCTATAATTTTCATAGGAAAGGAGGGAAGTAAAATTTAATAAATGATGCACTTTTATATTATTGTGAAAACTGAAGCAATAGCAACACCTACCACAAGGGGGAAACATTGTGCCATGTAATCCATATTCTAAAACTATGGATATAAATTGAGACACTAGCAGAATTATAATGCAAAATAACTTGATTCTCGCCTCCTGCACTAATGTGTGGATCAGAACATAATTGTCCTTTGGATTTCACACCATTCCCAATATTATGATATAGTTCTTGGCAAGAAACAAAACAAAAAACAAAACAACACCAAAATGCATTAAAATACATATTTTATGATAAAATACGCTTAGAAGTGCATTCAGTGAGATAAAGTACATATTTAAAATAGTATTTGTGATAAAATGCATAATTAAATAGATGTTTAGGAATTCTCATGCCATTTATTTTTTTTAATCAGATACATTCAGAAATAGGACCTAAAGGACTTTTGAAGGAATACAAGTGAAATTCACTGGAAAATATGTGGACTAGAAATATATAGATTCATCCATCCCTAAGTATAAAAGGCTGAAATAACTTGTGTTCTGAAAATGAAGCCTGGGTGAATAGTAAAATGTTCCCTTCTTCAATTTAGTGAGTTCAAGTTCACTATTCTCTTGGTAGCACTAAGATCATTCTGTCTGCATAAGCATTTCTGTTTGCCCAACAAAACAAGCTACCACCTCCTCCCCTCTCCCCATGCTATTTTCAGGGTTCAGCTGGCACTCACAAGAGGACTTGGGGAGGGAAAGGAGAAGCCCACCACACTCATAGGAATAATTGCACTGGCTTCTGCTAATGTAACGATTTAGCTGAATGCAGCCCATGGAAATTCATTGGTCAAAATACATTTCTATAGGCCTCTGTTTTGTTGGTATATAAATGATAGCCACCAGTTTCAGTAACGTCACACAATTACCGGTATATTTATGGATACTAAAAATAGGTAGGAGATTTTGGCACTGGGGCAGACAACCATATGTGGAGAGCTTATAAAAGGGGAAATAGGTAAGGCAGTGGGTTTGTATTTACAGCAGCACATCTTTAGGGGATATGTATTGATCCCCAGTTCCTGCACCATTCATTTAAAAAAGTCAATAGATAAAAAGATATTATGGGAGGGAATAAAGCATTTCAGCAAGGAGTAAAATAATGACAAAGTGGTATGAAGAAGGGGAAAGGGAATCTACCTATCAAACCACCTGAACCACTTAATACAGTTCATTGTGACAGCTGTAACTGTGTTTACACAGATATGTCTGTTCAGCCAAGGGACAAAAATGCCTGGTGGAAATAATGATCATTTATTTTTGAATGTAATGGATCCTTTTGCCTGATGGGAATTGAACAATCATGAAAATAAGGCACAAGCCATCTTGATACTGTTAACATTCACCCCTCCCAAACCATCACCCAAGGCATGTCCTAATTTATGGCCATGTTTTTACTATTTTATGGTTTTACCAAGGCTTCACATGCTCTGGTTCACTTTTTGTTATCCTAGTCCTGGACCCGTCATAGCTCCACCATACCCAAGACTGGGGCATCATTTCCTCTTATTCTAATCCAGAGCTGCCCTTCCCTGTGCTGCGGCTTGTGGCATTTAGAGCTTTATCTAATAGTTGCATGTTATCAATAACATTTGCATCAAAATCTGATGCTTGTAACTGCAAGATACTTGTCAATATGCTGTGGTTTAAATCTTGATGAACATTGCCAAATTTTAAAATAATCTTTAAAATATATGGAGTGGCAAACAAGCCATTTATTGAAAATTAAGGTTAAATTAAGCACCCAACATCTATCTCTGGTAATAACTGCCCATTTTTGCCAGTCAAACTGTTGATGGATGAAATATCGCCGTAATAAATCTAGTGCACGCCTTCATGTGACATCCATAAATGGGTGGAATAAATCGCAATCAGCAATCTGCACATCAAGTATGGAGAGGCTAAACTGTATGCTAAATTATGAAGCTTATGCTTTAATGATTTTTATTGGTGTTTTGTTGTGATGCTGTTTATTATAGTTAAGTACTTTGGACAGTGAGGCATTGGAGAGCAGTCAGTGAAACCAGCCAAGTTAATGGGACTCCCTGACACCTTCCAAATGTACTGATAAATTATTAGGGAACCTGACCAGTTAATCTCTGTCTTCCTGTTTCTTGTTCTTTTTTGTCACTGTACCTTCAGAAAAAAGAGCACACCTCTTTGTTCCTTTAGCACTGACCTTTGTGGATGGACTTTGACTAAATCTGACCTCTCTGCTCTTCCTGCCTTGTCCTTGTCCTTTTTTATTTGCCAGTGTCCCAGGAAGTAGTATATTTGACATATAAACAAGGGGGCTCCTCAACAAACTGTTGCATTGTATCCCTGGGTGTGAGCCTGGGGTTGGAAAAAACAAAAATTAGCATCAAAGGCTAATCCTTGATCTAACTTGAGTCCATGTGCAAGGCTTGCTTGCTTGTTTAGAACATTTAAAAATGCAGACCAGTCACCATGCAAGTCAATGGAGCACAAGGCTTCTGCATGCAAATGAGTGCTTGATTTGCCTGGCAGGAGGCAATATTAATAGGTTGCCCTTTACTGCAGCCTGAAAGATATAGGGAACTTTTGCCTGCGAATCAGGTAGCCAGAGTTTCGCCTCTGAACTGCAATGTTAGCAATGGATTACTTGGCAAGACCTCTGTAGGCTATTCTCTCTCATCACAGCTCTCCAACACTGCAACATGAGTGCAACAGTATACTGCAGGGCTGGTGGATGCAACTCTCTCAATCTATCCTGCAAAAGGGGAGTCAAAAGCAACAGATGATTCTACAATGTTATTGTACCTTCAACTTCAGCCCATGCTCCAGCCTACAACAGAAGCCTTAATACTTCTGGACAGTATTGTAGCCCGAACCGCAATATTCAGTGTGAACTATAGTGCATAGTTCCATGGGTTTGTCTTCATGCATTCCCTCCCCCACACCCACCATCAGTTTAAAAGCAAATACTGCTTCTGACTCTACTTGTTGCATGAATCAGCTGGAAGGGTGTGTGGGATGGGGTGAGGTACAAAGCAGCACAGTCAGGTGGTTTTGAACAGAGGCATCTAAAATAACTGGATGCTCTGAAGCTTTTTCTGTATCTTCTTTCCTTCCACCCACTAAAAACAGGTGGCTGGCGTCCCTTACCCTGTAAATGTCAGGACTGGCTAGATGGTTTGAAATGCTCACAGGGAAGTCAAGCAATTAATTCTCCCCCTTCACACATTCTCAGGGGTCTGTTTTGTCAGACAATTCAGCTGTATCCTTAAAGAATTTCACTCCCCTTGCTGTATTTACCCCCAGGGAATAGCTAGTCTCTCAAGCGAGATTAGGATCACTGTAGGCTTCTTCCTCTTGTATAAAGCCTAAGCAAGCAGGGCTGGGGGAAGGAATCAACCTAGAGATGTGAAGGCCCAGGAAGGGGACGGACAGATGGGGGAGGGTGTTTCCAGGCCTTCACATCTTTACACTGAGTTTCCTGAAATTTAGAATGTCTCTGAGGGAGACTGCAAGTACTTAAATGAACACTACCTGCTACATACCGGATGAACAAGTTTCCTAACATTTCTGGTATGGCATCTGAAGGTAACTTCACACATACACATTCATCACTGACTGAAAAATCATGATGACTTGCATGTGCGAAAATGCCAAATGGCACAAATAGATCTTTCATTTTACCTGTCATGACCTCAAACAGTATTTTTCAATTGAGGTACTTCACACATTCAGCTGTCAGTCTCTGAGTGGTGAGATTTGCTTCAGCAAACGTCCTATGTCAAGTGAAATAGGGTATACTTGTTTTCATACATTTGTATATC